CCCCTCCCCTTCTTCCTCCTCCTCTGTTTCCTCTTCGCTCCCTATTCTCCTTCTCCTCACTGTAACCTGGGAGCTCTCATTTCTGACCTCTCCAGCACAGCTCTAGGGACTGTCAATAAGGGTACAGGGGCTCTCACTGCACTGTATGATCTTCAAATGCAGCAGGTTCTGATACAGTTACCACTTTTTTTCAGAGAACAGGAAAAGCCCTTGCCGGGCCATTTCAGCTACGCCCTTGCCCGGGTGGGGTTCACCTCGCCACCGTTAGGATTCGCACGTCTTCTGCAGAATCCGCTCGCCCCTCCCCTTTTGGGGCGCCTAGGACGGGCCGGACACAGCCGTGCTGGCTGCTGCAGTGGCTCATGCTGACCCACGGGGAGCGCATACACTCTTTTTCTCTAATATCCTGGTACTATAGGCGGGTAGCAGCACGCGGAGACCTTTTCTCTGACTTGTCTGTCGGCAGCCAGATGCGGCCGTTGTGCCCTTGGCTCGTCCCAGGCTGGGGTCCGGCGCTGGTCTCCTACGGGCCCAACTCCGCAGAGAGACTCTGAGAGTGCGGAAGCTGTGCTCGGTGGGGTGTTCTGTACAGACACACTCATCACAGATGCTGCTGACTGCACTCCTAACACCACAGGCAGCTACGTTAGCGGGACCGTGCTTTCCAGGAAGGAGGAGAAGGGTGGAGACCTCGGAGCCCTGGCTGGAGGGCACCTGGGGACCACGGGGCCTCGGGTGCAGATGCAGTAGCCAGGCCTCCGAGCGCAGCAGCAACTTGGAATTACACTGACCCTAGCAGCAGCCAGCCCTTGAAGAAGGCTCGGGCTCCTTTGGTGACATGCGAAGGTATACCAAGGAGGCACACACAACACTGCACGACAAACTCATCTCCTAAGGACCTGAGCTCAACCTGAGCAGTACGACTTCACTTCGTCACCTCCCTCCATGCCCTGCTAGCGTTGGACCTGCCAGGGCTGCCCTGTTCCTCTGGAGAGTCATCACTCCTTCCAGGAAAGGGGGCAAGTTCATAAACTAGCCCTGGCAGGCTGGTGTTCCTCTAGTGGACAAGGGGAGTAGCTCTTCTTAGAACTCTTAGCAAGGTGACATGACTACAGTTCTAATAGTAGAAATCATGCAATTTGCAGCAGGGAGCTTTAAGCACATAAGCAATCGATTGTTACTTAGTTGCTTCCCAAACTGGAAAGATCTTGCATAGATCTTCACTGGGACCAGGATTAGCATTCAAAGTCAGCCTAGTAGATGTTCTTGCTGGAGCTGCAGAGCAACTTCAAATATGCCACAGCTGCATGGATTTTTGAAATAGCTACAAATACTTCTCAGAGTAAGGTAAGTGAGTGAATTTAAAGATAACATTCAAATGTCCAGATGACTATATTGTAGTGTGAAATTCCAAAAATTTATCAAGAACAGAATTAGCCTTGAGAGAGAAGAATAGAACAAGAAAGTAAAATGGGAGGAACAGAACAAGCGGAAAGGAGGACAGCACATCAGAGTAAAAGTGGCAAGAGAGGGGAGGACCAGGAGACGGCAGCTTCACTTGGGGTCTGTCCTCTGGGGAAGTGCAGTTCCCAGCCTCTGGCAGAGGTCATGCCAGGGGGCTGCCTGGGAGGGAGTGGGGCGTCACAGTGGGACGCTAAGGCCTACAGACCTGCTGGGAAGCCGGATGTGCTCAGCGGAAACTTCCCTGGAGGAGCTCTTAGCCAGGAACAAGCTAGCGCTGCAGTTCCAGAGCTGTGGCTCCTAATCTGACCTGCCGTGAATTGTTCAGCTTCTCGTGCGACGGCTCAGGCTCACTTTGGAGCTCCCCGGCCTTTAAGAGTCCTCCCAAGTTTCCTTTCCGGCTCAATGAAATCTTATTAACAGGAGTGAGACAGGGTAGGGGCACGGGGTGAGGACATGGGGAAGGAGTTCTTCAGAAGGAGAATACGGGGGTCCAGGAGGAGCGCATGCCAGAGGGAAGAGCAGGTCAAAATTCTAGCATGCTCTTTCAGGGTGCAGGGCGGGGGCCTCAACCCCTGTGCCAGGGAGAGACACAGTGTCCCCTCTGAACTTCTAGTCATATATTTGAGGTCAAGTACAGGTGACAAGTTGCATCTAGGAAAATTTGCAATTTGGGATGTCAATCAATCTTCTTTTAATGACCTTACCCTCATGTCAAGAAGCTTTCTGTTGTTCAGAGGGCCGTACATACCCACTCTTCTGAGCTAGCTCTCCAAGGCCTAGTCAGCCCTGGAACAGAGCACATGGCATTGCACGCCGAGGTCTGAGTTCTAATGTGAAGTCTTCAACTACCATCCTTTCAGGAGATATTATCATTCGTGCCTATGTTCTCTTCATACGAGTGGTCAGAGAGGAAGAGCCTGTACCCAGACACACGGAGACGTGTAAGTGTGCATGTGTGTGCACCATGGCCCCATCTCAGTGTGGCTGTGGGAAGTACTGACACAGTCAAGACAATTTTTCGGTGCCTTGGAATTTCTTTCAGAATGCTCGCAGACAGACCAGCGTCACCCACAAACCTCAAAACTAACTTTTAGACTCTGATTTTAGTGCTAGTTGCCTGCCCTTTGGCCACTGAGCTCACTGACATTTTATCTGCTTGGTATGGATCATGTCTTTTCTATATTTTAAAATATATAAGAGCAGATAAGTTGAAAGAACCTGAAGTAAATTAAGCATAAAATCAGTTTTTAAAGTGCAAGATTTGTGTGAGAAATTCCAATTCATTTACCAGCCATAGAAGAGAACTAGGAACGGATACTAAGGGGCAAAAAACAACAGCAAGAATTATTTGACTTCTTCCAGCTAAAGCCTAGAGTATTACTTTCAGTTAAGAACAGAAAGGTTACTACAGGGCAAAATGGACTACAAGTATATACAGTGGTCAATTAATGATTTGTTTATATAGTATGAGAAAGGAGATCATGAGGGGGTGAGATCTTTAAGTCTTCAGATTTTTGCAAACTCTGAAACTCTGCTTTGATATTACCAAAGATAGCTACACTTACTGTATCACTAAGAATTAAATTACAAACTTACACATATATAGGGGATGTTTTCTAAGAAGATTGAAAACGGCAGCCATCCTATTTTCTGTTTAGAAATAATGTGGTTTGAAGTAATATACATTTTATTAAGAATAGGAATGAAGAACATAAAATCATCCTGAACTTTAGCATGAGTAATTACTTTTATAATATTTAGGTTTATTAGAATTCTATGTATATTTATCCTTAGAATAACAGAAATGAAAACACGCAGAGTCACATACCTGTGTCTGTTTCGGACCAATATCCATTTTTTCCAGAAGGTCATTTAAAAAATCTGTAACGCTATCCCAGGGATAGATGCTGTTGGAGCCGTCCAGCACTATGACTATATCTAGCTGAGTGTTGCATTCTGCAGGAAAAGGAGGCAGGGGAGAAAGTTGGGAATCTATTTCTTAGAGAAATATGAGGTGTTTTCGTAGCTCAAAGAAGCTCATTTTATGGAACACTTCCCAAATTTGTGTCATCCTTGCACACGCGCCATGCTAATCTTCTCTGCGTCCGTCCGATTTTAGTATATGTGCTGCCCAAGTGAGCACAAGAAGCTCATTTTAAGGGATGAACTGGTGCCCACAAAGTGGATTTATTGTTTTAATTGTTTCACTAAAAAGTAAAGGGCATAAGAAATGCATGTTGCATTCAATTGGAATCAGTTTGGAGTTTGTAACAAGTAAAACCCACATCTAATTACATATAATTAATATTGCATAAAATTATATTTGGAAAGTTTCTTAGTAGAATTTGATATCACATTATCATCCTGGCCTTTTCATAGTGAACTTAAGTTCCCCTTAAATACACACAGCGCAGCAGCTGTCGATGTGAAGTGTGAACACCACGCTCTGCAGGGTATTTGTGCTACCTCCAGTCCCACAATGCCGGTGCGGGTGGCCTACGTACGGGCAGAGCAAACATGTCCCGAACCTGGTAACACTGGCAGCGGACGGAGCGCTTGCAGCCCCTGGGCGCGCTCTCCGGTACACACGTGTGTCATTCATGGCTTACGCTTTCCAAACAGGCGCAAAACATTGTGTAACATCTGTACCTTGAGCAGGGGCAAAGGAGTTCACAACTTGAAATGCGGGGCTGACATCAGAACAGATCCCAGTGGTGTAGTGCAGGTGCCCGCACCTGTAGGCATACAAGGGCCCGCATGCCTTTTAAAGAATTAAAAAAATTAAGAGCTATAAGACTGAACAGTATGTAACAAAATTTTAATAGTTTGCAATGATAGTGCCCCTGCTAGGAAATATTATTATTCTTTTCTTTCTTACCAGAAACCCTCCTTTTGGGTTGGTAACTAAAGTTGATCCAAACGTCATGTTCTCTTTTATTTCTGTGACATTGGGAATTGATGTATTAACTACAAGAGAAAACAAAATTTTATGAGGATGAAAGTAAGTTCCACAAAGTGAAATTAAGTATTTGCTATTAAAAGGTCCTATTTGCTTTAATATTATTTAGCAGCCCTCTTTTGGCTCAGCCGAATGGACTTCCAAGTGTTGTTAAAGAATCTACTGAACTAGGTAAGGCTCAGGGGCTGGCTTGCATCCCAGGAACTGTATCGCGGTTCCAAGTAGTTTTGTTGAACTGTGAAAGAATACAGAACCAGCAGGGCAATGTGAATACAGGATTGGCTCTCACATGTTTTCGATAATTAAAACAAAATATTTAGCTTCACAATATTATAAATATAATTTTATGTTATTTATTATAAGCAACTAATGATGAAATATGATTTTGGCAAGGAAAAGGCAAGTGCATAAAGACCAGAAAAGAAGTCAATGAAACACAAGTTATTGATCATGACATTCAAAATCATAGGGAAGGAAGGAAGAGGAGGAGGAGGGAGGGAGGGAAGGAGGAACAGAGGAAGAAAGGGAGGGTGGGAGGGAGAGAAGGAGGGAGGGAAGGAGAAACAGAGGGAGAGATGGAGGGTGGGAGGGAGAGA